ATTTCAAGATTCTATCTGCAAATGATATCAGATACCTTGAAGCTGCTTTTGTAAAAATACTCATGTACTTCACAGAGAAGGGAAGGTGTTCAGGGCACAGGCCACTTTAAGAGTCTGTAGCATTCTAAAATTTCTGATCAGTATGAGCTGACACAAAAGGAACATACTGGGCAATATAGGAAAACAAATTATTTCACCAGTTAATTTTAAAAAAAAAACTCTTTTGTGATAGCTGAAGATGAGGAAGAAGAATCTGAGAAACTGAAGCAGGTACAATCTAGCCTGAAATTAATAGTCTACATATGGCTAACTTTAAGGGGTTTTATTATTACTAACAGTTAAATTAATAGTTAAACTACCCTAGAGATATCCCCATTTAACAGATATGGAAACTGAGGATCAGAAAAATATGAGTTCAAGGTCCACTTCTAAAAAGTTGCAGAAAAAGATTTAAACAAGGATCTAAGCCTCAGTTCTCAGTTCTTTTTCCTTCACCTTGCTAACATATGCTTAGCTTAAAATAAAATTTCCTACAGAGCAGGAATTTTCACCATGATTATTATTTCTTTAGAATGTAACATTCAGAATTCAAAAATAAAGCCAAATAATGGATCTGGAAAATGTAAAAAAAAAAAAAAACCCCACACTCTAATATTAAATATTTGCAGATCTTGAACAAGTCGTTTTAACTTCTCTGTGCTAAAACTTCTTCACATATAAAAGAGATAATATCTTAGAGAGTAGTTATGACATGGAAGTTTGTTAAAATATATAAAGCACTAAAGGACTGATCACAAAAATCTGCAAAGAGCTGATGAGACTCAACAACAACAAAGAAAATAATCCCATCAAAAAATGGGCAGAAGAGCTAAAAAGAAACTTCTCTGAAGAGGAAATGCAAATGGCCAACAGGCATATGAAAAAATGTTCAACATCACTTGTAATCAGGGAAATGCAAATCAAAACTACCATGAGATACCATCTTACACCAGTGAGAATGGCACATATTAAAAAAACTAGCAACAACAAATGTTGGCGAGGGTGTGGAGAAAAAGGAACTCTTCTGCACTGTTGGTGGGAGTGCAAAGTGGTCCAACCACTATGGAGAGTTGTGTGGAGATTTCTGGACCTTCTAAACATAGAGCTTCCATATGATCCAGCAATTCCACTCCTAGGTATTTACCCAAAGGACACAGAAACATCAATTCCAAAGAACACCTGCACCTCTATGTTTATAGCAGCACTGTTTACAATAGCTAAGCTTTGGAAACAGCCCAAATGCCCAAAAATAGATTACTGGATCAAGAAGATGTGGTACATGGGCCTCCCCGGTGGCGCAGCGGTTGAGCGCTGGGTTGCGAAGCTGCGCGCGGCCTCTGCGGCGCCGGTTCGATCCCCGGCTGCTCCCCGGCCACCAGAGGAGGGTCCCACATGGCGCGCAGACCTCTCCTGCCGCCCGCTGCTCCCCTCAGCAGTGTGCTTCGGTCCTTCTGCCTGCTCTGCTCCCCGCTCTGGCTCTGGTGAATTCTCTCGCCCTCCCGCGCTTCTGACTGTACCCAGTGCATGTATAAAACAAAAAACAAACAAACAAACCAGCAAACAAATAAATAAAAAAAAAAAAAAGAAGATGTGGTACATATACACCATGGAATATTACTCAGCATTCAAAAAAGATAAACACATGCAATTTGCAGCAACATGGATGGCGCTGGAAGGGATCATGCTCAGCGAAATAAGCCAAAAAGAAAAAGAAAAATACCAGATGGTCTCACTCATAGCAGGAATCTAAAAAACTTAAATAAGGGACCAGGAAAATGAATAACTATAAGAAAGTGAAAATCAAAATCAACAAAAAACTATGAACCAGAGACACTTTTGGGGGGTGGGTGGCGGGAGGGGAGGGATTGGGGTCAGAGTGGGGGGGTTGCAATTGTATGGGGAATACAAAAATAAAATTTGTTATTTAAAAAATATATATATATAAAGCACTTAGGTACAATATCTAGCACAGAATAAACTTCATAAATGTTAATTATAGCTATTGAGATGAGCAATCACTAGATGGCCATATTTTGTCAGGTGACTCTAATCAGCTACCTGGACACCTAACCCAAAGGCACTCAATCTAACACTGACTTGTGATCTATGTCATGACCTGGTAAGAAAAGACGATGTATCTAAACCAGATTCTCTCTCTTGTGGTTCAGAAATTAAATAGTTTGATTGCTGCTTTCATCGATGCTCTATCATCAAGGTTACCAGCAATGCTAAATCTGTCGCTAAATCTAGTTTTACAGTCTTCCTTTTTACATTACTTGTCAAGTATTCAATCCACTGAGTATGTCATGCATTAATTGGACACTTTATTTTTGACCCTCTTACCTCCTCTGTTGTGCTTTCTTGTCTTTTGGAAGGCACTAAAATATTGCCGCTACTCAACACTTGATCTCAGGCCTATCCTCCCCACTCCTCACTCTCCCCCGAGGCAACTACATACATGCTTTGGAATTCATTAATTATCTCTCTGCCAACTCAGATTTTTCTTGTGAATTCAACTGCCTTGTCAATCTCTCCATTTACTTGAAGGTCTCAAAGATACTTTAGACATATGTCCAAAACCAAACTCATAATCATCCCTCCCAAACCTAGTCAACATTCCATCCACTGTTCCCTCTATTTATAGTGACACCACCAAATACCCACATCTCTCACTAGTCCTATTAATTTTATCTCGAAATATTGCTCTCCATCTCTACTGCTATCTTCTAACAAGTTTTTCTATTTCTATTCCTGTATCTTCTGTAGCCTCCACAGTGCAGCCAGTTTGTTTTTTCTTTTCTTTTTTTTTTTTTTTTTGATGAGCCTAGTCATCTTCAGTGGTTGCCTATTATTCTTACTTTTTTTTTAAAGATTTGTTTATTTATGCATACAAGAACTGGGGTATAGGCCAGAGGCGCTGGGAGTGAGAGGATTCACCAGAAACAGAGTGGGGAACAGAACAGACAGATTAACTGAAATACACTGCTGAGGGGAGGGGAGGGTGAGCCAGGAGAGGTCTGCTGCACCATGTGGGTAGCTCCCTGGCCAGGGATTAAACTCATGCTGCAGTGGCTGCAGATAGCTTCACAGGTTGCATCTTAACCCCTTGCACTTGATTATATCATAGCCTATAAGGCTCTGAAAAATCTGCTTTAGTTCACCTCTTTTTTCCTCCTATTGCCCTACATTACTGTTACACTTTTCTCCTTTCAGTTCCCCTAACATAACACAGCATGTTTCCTCCTACCTTAGAGTCTTGTACATGCTTTCTCTCCACTTGGACCACTCTTTGCCCTTCTCTTTATTTTTCACTCCCTAGTTTATCTTGGCAAAAATATCATTTCCTTGGAGTAAGCTTCTTGACTTTCTACACAATATCAGGTCATTGTTATTCATTTAGGAAATGGTTATTAATAATTTTATTAATAAACTATTTAGTAATACATGCCAGGTTTCTAGACATGGGATTGATAAGTACAACAGATATTTGCCTTCATGGAGTTTACATTCTAGTGGAATAGGTAATAAGCACTAAAAATAATAAATTGATTAAATAAATATGTTGAAAGTGGTAATTCTAGGGGGGAAATAAAAGAACAAGGAAAATGAATCAGAAGTAGGAAGTTTCCAGGGCCTAACTTGGTGGCTGCCATATAGTTAGCACTCAAATATTTGTTGAGTGGATGAATGAAAGGAACAGGCATTTTCAAGTTATGAGAGGGCCAAAACTATAAAATGAGTACAGGTGGAATAAAATGAGTACTTGGTGCAAGTAACAGAGATGCCAAGAAAGAAAGGAAAATATGCAGGTCTTCAAGAGATAATGGTCTGAGTCATTCCTGATGTTTTAATACAGTTCCCAGTTACAGCCACTGTATGGTCATACCATAACCACCATCACCCACCCCTGCCCCCAAGGGCTGTATAATTCAAGCGGGCCACTTTTATAACCATAACATCTAATCAGGACACAAACAAGGCTATGTATGCCACTTCCACCACCCATCACTACTCATATCTCCAAAACCTGTGCTTTTTTACATACGGATGTCACTAGGATTGAGGCTCCAATTCCCAACCCCTTTTAGGGACAAACTCCTTCCCAATACACAGGAGTATAAAAACCCTTGCTTTCTTCTATGACCCTGTAAGGCACTTAAGTCACTGTCTTCCCAAGCCCAGCCATACCCACATGAGGGACTCTCAGAAATAGGATCTTGGGTTTTCCTTCCTGTCAGTCTCCCTGAAGCTCAAAGACTATCTCCCACCCAAGATATCTAGATTCCTTCTGTAATTCTGAATGACCTTCAAGATCCTTGATTGCATATAAACTCACCTCAGGCTCCAGCCTCCTTTGATAGAGTTGTAAAGGATTGCAGCTCTGGGAGTCCCTTCAAGCCTCTTTCCTTTTTAGAACCCTATGAGGTTTTGTATACTTTTTCTCTGTAACCTAAAGGCAGTAAACTTCCCCAAAACACAAATAATGGGTGCACAGGATTGCCTGATATTAAAGTAACACTTCCCACATACACCTGTCTCCTAAAATGAGACCCTCCCTCTTCTCAAAAGATGCCCCTTTAGGGGGCCCTCCTGCATTCCCATAGAACTGGCACAACCTCTCCATGATTTAGCCAACCCCGAGGATCAGTCCAATTACAGGTGCTTTTCAGGAATGGGATCCTGTCTCTTCCCTAGAGTGTCAGCCTTTTCAGGGCCCATGCTCACTCAGAAGTGTGCAAATTCCCCCATACACAAATGGGCCAGCAGGTCTGAGGTCTCTGCCAGCCACTCAGCGGGGTACGAACCTCCCTTGAACTCTGACCCCGAGGTCAAAGCCCCACCGCGCAAACACGCAGGGCTGCCACCTCAGTTGTAGGGCCATACCCAAGTCCCCTGTCCCCTCGGGCCCAGGACGGGTGTGCTGCCTCAGTGCTTCCCCCTGAACAACCGCCCCCACAGACCTGCCTCAGGCGCCGTCTGGCTTCGTTCCGCCATTTTTGTTGTCCCTCCGCCTGTGAGCCCACGCGAAAATCGCGGGGCAGTAGGGAGCCGGCAATGGGATCAGCAGGCTGACAGAAGCTTCCTCTGTAAGACGCGGCGCGACGGTTCCCAAGGCAACGGGCTGCCGGCGTGCGGGCGGCCGTCGCGCGGCGGGGGACGAGGGGCGGGCTTAGAGGGCGCGTCGTCCTAGGCCCCGCCCCCTCGACGCGAGCCCGCTCCCAGTCCAGGCGCCCGCGGCGCTGGGGCTCCGCGGCGCTTTTCCCACGCGACGAGCCTCCGGCTCCGGGCAACTGAGCATGCTCGGCCGCCTCTGGGGCTACGGAGCCGGCATTCTCAGACCAACGAGCTGGAAGGTTCCTCGTGCTGACCCCAGCGCTGCATGGGCTGGCTTTCCTGTGATTGGGGTTCAACTTTGGAGACTTGGGATAGATTTCTTGATTTCCTTACCCTATGCCAACCCCGCCAGCCCCCGTGTGCCTGGCCCTGGTCGAGGGGCTGGTGACTTATGGCTTCAACTGAAATGCACTGAGAAGCAAGATATGTGTGTCCATCTCTCCCCAAACATTCGGAGGCCCTCCTGGTTCTGGCTTCTCTGAGGCCCTACTGGGGCTTTGAGCACCTCTGAAACTGTACCAGTCCTCAACTCGAGAAATGGTTACTCTGGTGCTTGTGTATTTCTCAGTATACCTAAGATGTCTTTTCCCCTCTGTGGCAGATCACTGTCTTCCAAGACCAAGCTCCGACATCACCCATTTCTGACCAGCCTTGTCCCTCCACAGCCAAGGTCTTGCCCCCAACACTATGCTTGGTGCATTTTTTATTTCTTTCTTCCTTACTTGACAAGTAAAGGAATGTTCAGGACAAGCTTCTTGGAAAAGAGAGTGCCTGATCTGACTTTTCAAGAGCAAGCAGGGGTAAGTTGGGCAATGAAAACAGTGGTATAAGGAGCTGGTAGTTGAGGTAATAGGAACAGCATGGGCAAAACAAAATATAGTGTGTCTTCTTTGAAGAGCGAGGCAGGAGTATATATAAATAGGCAAGGGCAAATTCTGGTAAACTTTGGTGGTGGGGTGGGACTTGATCCTTTAAGTGAGAAAACACCTAATGATAGGTGTTTAAGCAGGTCGGGGACCATTCAGCTGCTCTGATGGCTGTGTAGAGTGTTGGCAGAAAATGAGGAGTTTGTGTCAATGAATAACTACATACAATGATAAGTAGCACATAGTAAGTGTTCATCCAATGGTAATTTTAAATGTCAACTAACACATTTGGATAGAACCGCACAGTTTTTTAAGAATCACTAACTTAGTCGGACTTGCTACATTTCTGGTGCTCAATAGCCACAGGTGGCTAAATGAAGACTATTGGACAACTTATATAGAAAATATTCCCAACACTGCAGAAAATTCTGTTAAACAGTTTTGATAGACAGATGCTAACTGAACAGAGGAGATGGAATACATGGAAAAATCAGTACTGGCAGGGCCAAGTTCAGATCTCTTGTAGGTTAGCTCCTTTTCAGAAGCAGTGGGGGAGGAAGAGTAGACTTCCTCATCCTGTTGAAGTCCTCAGAGACTTCCCATTTGTTGTGCGAAATCACGCAACATGGATAGTGGGATACGATGCCCCCCATGTGGGCCCTGTGCACTACCATTCAGAGTGTTCCTAGGAGATGCCTTCCCCAAGGATTTCCTGTAGTTTCTATCTCCACAGAGATCCACCCACCTACTGCAAAGCCAGAGTGCCTTCCTTTTAACAAAATATTCTCTATAGGATTCACTCACTCCTTTTGTAAACATTTATTAAAATGACACCTTCCATATACCTTGCACTGAATTGAATGTCAGATGGAATGAGAAATACACAAGTTATAATCACAGGTCTCACATGCATGAACTCATTTAATTATCAAAGTAACATTGTAAGATTGATATTAATGTCATTATCCTGTACAGAAGATGAAACTGAGATCAAGAGAGTTTGTTCAGGTGACTTACAAAGTCACACAGTCAGAAAGGAACAAAACCTTGTCCTCTGCATTTCTTCCTTTTAACTTGTGCATTGCACTGCCACATTGTGCATATATTTTCATTGCATCCATTACCTGAGTTTGTGGATAATGTTCTTTTATGTCTGTCTTTCCGGTTGTGGAGACATACTAAATTTAAAATGTGCAAGACAAAATTATAGTGGTTAGGAAAACACACTTGGTTGATAAAACTATAAAGAATGACATAGAAGTGAGAAATTACTATTATAAAATCAAGTATAGTAGGCAATATGATCAGGTCAAAACATTTGAAAGAACTTTTAGAGCAGCTGGAAAAGTCCTGTTAGGTTGGAAGTCACAAGGATGTTTGCCTTATAAGAACTCAAAGTTATGCAATTTTGCATTTTAATTTACAATAAAAATATTCTTTAAAGAAATATATTATTTCAGTTCAAAAGCACACCCCACCTTAACTATTTTTCTTCATATTTGTTTCCTAGGCTTAAATAAGACTGCCTATAATTTACTATATAGCTGTTACCTTTTAACAAGTGCTTAGTATATGCCAAGTATCTTATACACATTCTTATTTCATTCTCACAATATTTCCATCAGACAGGTTTTATCCCAATTTTACTGCCAGGAAAAAGAGTGCTTTTGACCCATTTTTCATAGGCCATCTGAAAGTACCAATGATTTCTTAGCACAGAAATACCAGGTACTACTGTTCCGAAAGAAACAAAGATAAATACATGCTAGTAGAAAGTAAAGGCTGTCCTATTAATCTGGATTGTCTCCAAGAAATATATCTGCCATTCACCTTCCCCCCACCAACTTGGTGAAATATGATTACTTCTTGAGTAAACTAGTGAGGAAATTAATTGTATAGGGAAAGCGATCCCAAGAATAAAAATTCCCAGAGGCCACCTCTTTTTGAAGCCTCAAGTGTGAAAATCTTTACTTTTTCCGTAAAAGAGACTGTAAATAAATGGGTTCCATTCTCTATTTCTCCCACTTTTCTAAGAGCTGCCTCCATAAAGAACTTTGTATATTTTCATAGTTCTTCATTTGAATGGGCAGAACAGGGCAATTCAAGAATGGTCAGATCTCACCAATACCCCAGAATCTAAGGATTCCACTGGAAATGGGACTAAAAAATACATTATAACCATATATAAATATTTTTAATTAACATCTTACAACATATATTATTTTTGCATTTTTATCATTATAGCACAATTAATGCTAACTCATGAATTTTCCCATGTCATAAGTATTCTTTGAAAACATTATTTCTGTAACTGTACAATAACTGCCTTTGGGAAACATCATAACTAATTAAACCATTTCCTTATTCTTGGGCATTTAGGTCAGTCCAGTCCTTTTCGTATTATAAATAATATTGCTGTAAACATCCATGTATATAGATCTTTGATCATCATTCCTGATCATTTCATTGCTTTGCTTTTCTAGACGAGTTCACTAGGTCAGAGAGGATGATTTTTTCTTGAAACATATTGACAAGTTGTCCTCCCAAAAGACCTTATCCCTTTATGTACCCATTAGCAAGGTGTACAAATACCTGTCACGTGATACCCTTGCCAGCATTCTGGCTGTGATATTTATGGGAAAGAATGTTTTACCCAATTAGCCAGGACGCATGAATGGATAGAACTTAACCATCTGCCTGGGAGAAATTTGAGAAGTTTGGTTTAGACATGGAAAAGCTGGTTGCACTTATCACAGATGGGGCACCTGCAGAAAGAAAAAAAACTTTTCAACACTTTATTTTCATTAGAAGAGAAGAGTTATACACTGTAACCTCACAGCTCTTTCAGATTTGTGAACAAGATGTGTTGTGTTCCTCTGGTTTAATGGGAGAATCAAGATCTTTAATTTTCTTCATGCATATAATCTTAACTTGTACTTATTTATGGGATATTAGAACGGAGATATAGCTGAGTATGGAAACCTAGTTAATTTTAATGACATCAGATGGCTTGATTGTTTAAAAGTATCAAAGAACTAACTTAAAAGACATAAAACTAAAGGACTCTTAAGACACCCAACTTGCTAAATCCCCTGGGTTCATTAAGATTAGACTTTCTCACTGATTTGACAAATACTTAAATATACTGTGCTTGAAACTATAGGGAATAAAACAAGGCTCTTTCTGATTTGTTCAAGGAAATGAAGACATTTAAGATTGACCAACAGGTAGAACCTCATTTTCTAATGCTCAAAAGAGTAACCCATTTTAAAGTAATGGAGTTAACATAATTCTACATGTGATAGAGACCCACATGGTAGAAATGGAATGAATTCAGGAGAGATTCAAGGATTATGATAACTTGAACCTAAATTTCTACAATTATTGTGGGAATGTAAATCTTAGCATGTGTCCAAATTGATAAGCATCTCTTATAATACTTTTAGGAGGAAATAATTGATATAAAAATTAACTATGTCCAGTAAAAGAATCACAGTATCCCTAAAATTATTCATATACATAAATTCCAGATCTGGAAATTTATGACTATATAACAAAACAATAGGCCATGACTTTTTCCATAAAATTTACAAAAATAATGCTGAACATCACAGTCAAAATATCCTGGACTTCCTTTCAGTAGAGTTTCCATTGATATGCAAAATTAAAAATATTCATTATAGAAGAGTCCTCTTCTTTAAAATTCTCTGTGTATGCCTTGTTCACCTTCCTTCCACAATCACTTTCCAACTAAGATCTGGCAGAGACCCAAGTCAGCTACCCCCTCAGGGCATTTAATAAAATCCATAATTATAAATCATCTTCCAATGAGATTAAACACAGATTCTTTATAGTGAGTTCATCTCACATAGCTATATTTAATGCTATCCATCTAACTGCTGTTGTTGCTATGTGCATCTTAGCAGACTTTTAGGTGGTAGTTCCCTCCCATACCTGACCCCAATAAACTGATGCAAGAGATACAATTTCACACATGTATATTTTCATATCTCCTGCAATTGCCAGTTTAAGAGCTACTTGTTCTCTGAATATCTCTTGCTTTGCATCAGATAAAATGGTTCAAACAAAAAGTCACATCCATACCCTAAGGAGTTTGTAATCCAGAAGCAAGAATGGACATGCTATGGAACACAGCAGAACAAAACCCACAAAATAGAGGCTGGTAGAGAGGCATATGGCCACCACAGCTGGATTGCTTTATGAATGACCCCTAAGTCATCACTAGTCTTTGAATACTTCCCTTGTTTAAGATATAAAACACTACCAATTATCAGCAAATTCCAAAAAACCAAATGAGTTGTTTAAAGTTGCCTCAGGTAAAGATGATATTCCTGAAGGGTGCAGACCTAAAAAATAAGGCTTCTGGATGAGAAGTAAACTATTCCCCATGCTCATTATCATCAACCCTAAAATGTTAGTATGGTTCCTATCCTTGTTGTCAGAGGTAGACAGAGTTCGACTTTTCTTGATAAGGTGCCATTAATTTATCTTAAATAAATGTCTTTTGGGAGCAAATAGGAAAGAGTTCAGGAATTATTGTGAGTTCCCATGTATCCTTCACTCAGTTTCCCCTGTTTTATTAACATCTTATATTAATGCACTACATCTGTTATAATTAATAAACCAATACTGATACACTATTATCTACTAAAGTCCACAGTTTATTCATAAGTCCTTATTTTTACCTAATGTCCATTTTCTTTTCCAAAATCTCAGGCAAGTTTAAGTATTACATTTAGCTGACATGTTTCTTCATGCCACTCATGGCCATTTTATCAGATTTCCCTGTTTTTCATGACCTTGATAGTTTGGAGGGAAATTGCTCGTATTTTGTAGGATACCCTTCTAGTGCAAATTGCTGATGTGTTTCTCATGATTAGACTGTCAGAGTTTTGGAAGAGAGTGATCACAGATTGTAATCATTGTATCAACACAAGGGTACATACTATGAGTATGATTTATGACATTCGTGTTGACCTTGAACACCTGGCTGAGGTTGTGTTTGTCAGGTACTCCAAAGTAAAGTTACTCTTTTTCCCCCTTTCTGTATTATATGATTCAAAGGAAGTGACTTTGTGTAATGCATACTTAAGGAGTGAAGAATTATGCCCTCACTCACTGATTTGTTTTTAAAACAAATAAAAGCAGCGTTTCTGTGGGACAGAGCTTGTTTACTTGCAATGGGGAGTGTTGGGGCTAAAAGATATTTCAAAGAAGCTGGTATGGTTTACTTGTTTACAGAAGAAAAACTACAGTAGTGCAGTTTTCTATTTCTTGTCTTAAAATCGTAATTCCCATTTTTCCTGCAAGATAATATTTACCTTAAGGGAAAAAAAGTTTACTTTGTTAGATTTGCCATTGAATGCTTAAAGGGGCTGTCCTTTTCATATAGTTCTGGATTTTTTTTCTTCTACTACTTCCTTATCTGCAGCCTTTTTAAAAGGAAAGCTCATGCATTCATTTCTTCTTTTAGGTTTTTCCACCATGCTACTTCAAATATATTGCCTGTATAATTTTCTAAGATAAAAAATTAGAATCCAAGCATACCTCTGAGGAAATATTACCTTTGAAGTTCAGGAGGCATCAGAATCAAAGTGAAATCTACAATTTACTTCTTTACAAAAATTCTGGGAAGATAAAACTAACAAGATACAAAAGGAAAAATCTGTTTCAAGCTGATAATAAAGGTACTATAATGAGTAGAAATAAAGAAAACATGAGGAAGTCACGAATAAAAGTTACTTGGTTTACAACAATTGCATTTCTCTAACTCTCAGCAATATGGAGCAGCCAAAGTATCCAGATCTCAAACTTCTGGTTCAGCCTTGCCTGGACAGATTGCAGTTCTCAAATACTAGTCTCAGTAGCAGAATAAAAACACAGTGAACATATAAATACATATAATGAAGTCTGACACGAGGAATTTAGATAGATTAACTAAACCATTACTATTTTGTTTTAAAAGAAAATTGTATGGATTCAAGTAGCATTTTCTAAACATAGCCATATGGAGACACAATTCTTGCCATTTTTCCTCTAAAATATATCCATAACAAGGAAAGAACTTTAGCATTTGGCTAATATACTAGCAACACTTCTATTTTAACAAAAATGTAATAAAGATTAAAAAATTCCTTAGTCCAGGCAATACAATGGAAAGAATACTAGTTTTGGAAATCAAAAGACCTGAATTCAAATTATAACCTCACCACTTGCTAAGTATATGACTGGACATGAGTTATTAATCTCTCTGAATCTCAGATTCCCTAACTGTAAAACAGACACAGTAGGCCTACCATCATGGATGGTTTATCACAATAAGTTATAATACAAGTGAAATGCATAACAAATTGTGAATTTATACATAGCAGCCTCTGAATTAGGGAAATTTTTCTCTTTTTTTGTATCTATAGGGAATGTGGGATGTTAACCTAACTTATGGTAAACACTTCTTAATATATGTAGTTCAAATCATTATGCTATACACTTCCAACTTACACAGTGCTGTATGTCAATTCTCCCTAAAACTGGAAAGCAGACACGCACACAATAGGAAGAGAGAGAGAGAGAGAAATTTTCTAGCCTACAGAGTTGTATTCTAGTGGAGGAAATGGAGATTAATAAAGATTAACTCCCCGCCCCCATAGACAACTAAAATTATCAGAAGAATAAATTCTACCCAGTGCCTTAGAAAATGGTAGGTTTTCCTATGAATGTAATGTTTGAGCTAAAAAATCACTCAAAAAGCTGAAAGAAAGCCATAATCAAATAGAGCCCTGAGCAAGAGCGATTAAGACAAACCAAGCAGAAAGTGCATAATTTCTAAGGTGGAGGAAGATGATGGTGCTTTCAAAGAAGTGAAAGGAGAATGTAGACTCTAGGAACAGTGACATGGGAGAGGCAGTCAGAGCCAGGACAAGCCAAGCCCTGTCGGTCACCTAGGTCTCTGGCCTAAGAATAATGAAAAGCCATGGAGAGGTTTTGAGCAGAACGGTGACATCACCACATTTTTAAGGGCTGTCTCAGGCTGTTACAGAAATAGTTAGGGATAAGAGAAGATACAGGAAGGTCTAAGGAAGCCGAGGCAGAGGACTAAGCAGAAGACAAGGCACCAGAAAAGTAAAGCTAAGTACAGAAATTGTAAATGATAGAGCCAGAATTGGAAAGTCTATTTCCTCTGAATTTTGTGTTTATTGACCTTATTTGTTAATAAACTACTAAATACATGCAATGAATAAACAGAAATGATGCTTATGATATAACCTGTTGAGTAAAAGAATTTCCCAGCACCCTGCACTTAGGTTTACTTCCAATAATGCAATTACAATTAGAAAATGGAGTGCAGCAAACAGAAGCATTCACAAGAAACAGAGATGGAGAGAGGGAGCGTAGTCGAAGGGGAACTGGAGAAGGAGAGAAGACACCTAAGTTCTAGTCCCAGCTCTACCACATTCATTTGAACAGATAAGTTCCTGTCCCTTTTTAAACGATCCTCATGTGTGAAATGACTAAGTGGAACTAGCTGATATCAAGGTTCCCTTTCAGTGCAAATGTTTCTCTACTGTTGAAGACACATCTATGAATTATAAAGGCAGGATGTACAGTGGTTAGAGTACAGATTCTAAAGCCACCATAATAAAAACAAACACAGTGTCTTCATGTGTCAGGCATTTTTCTAGGTATTTTATATTAACTACCCTGAGTTCCCCCAACAAACCTGTGGATATGCAATATTATTATCATCAGCTTCATTTTATAGTTGAGAAAACTAGGCACAGAGATATTAAGTAACTTGCTCAAGAACTCACAGTTATTAAGAGGCGGAGATAAGATTTGAATGTAGTCATGTAGCTTTAAAGTGTATGTCTTTTTAGACTATTTGGGTTGAAATACTGGCTCTACTATTTTCCACTAGTGTGAGTCTCAGTACCTGAATTCTGTCATCTATACAATGGGAATAATCAAGTTTTTACCTGAATGTGGCTTTATGAGAAGTAACTGAAGATATGCATACATGTAAAGTGATTGGAAAAACAATACCCAGAACTTAGTAAGTGTTCGGTAAATGTTAGGGGTTATTATTACTAGATAACCCCAGGAAGAATGGACATTTGGCACAATACTCATTTGTAAGAATGACTCCTTCTGACCCCAAGATTTCATGGTATTTCCAAGGCAAAGAGTCAAGTTATAAATACTTTGAGACTCTGCAGAGGAGAGCTATTGTCATTTGTGTGCAAAGAATTTCTCCCCATATATTTATTTTTATTTATGCCTTCATTTAACACTCCAAAAGAAAAGGTGGTGGTGGCAAATAAATTAACTTAAGTGCAAAATAAGATATTGTTCCTGTACTTAACCCAATATGATTTTAAATACGTTTGGAACTCCTTAATGTTGCCATGGATCAATTTATTGGGTCACAACCAACATTTAAAAGAAATAACAGGGCCTCCCCTGGTGGCACAAGCGATTGAGCGCAGCGCTGTGAAGCTGTCCGCAGCCTCTGCAGCGCCGGTTTGATCCCAGCCGGCCGGTGAGGATCCCACATGGCGTGGCAGACCTCTCCTGTCTCACCCACTGCTCCCCTCAGCAGTGTATTTCATCAGTTTACCTGTTCTGCTCCCCGCTCTGTCTCAGGTGAATCCTCTCACCCTCCCGCACATCTGGCCTGTCCCCTGTTCTTGTATAAATAAATAAATCTTTAAAAAAAATTAAAAAAGAAATAAAAGAAATAACAGCATTTTGTAGGATTGGATAACAGACATCAAAGTGTATCACAGGTAGTAAAGGTAATTTATAATTTCATAAAATTTTTGTTTCAGAGGGTTAGTGAGAGAGGGTAAAAGAGAATGTAAATTATACTTTTTAGTTAGCACATTTAAAAAATTTGAATAACACTGTACTAGCTTATTTATCAATAAATATTCACTATGAGGAATTTGTGCTAAACATTCTACTAAGAGCTGGGCTTACAAAAAAATAACGTTTTACCTTTAAGAAGATTAAAGTGAAACAGACAAACAGACACTAAACAAAACCAACCTGAACTTTATGGGGTCTACGCCTTCCTACCTAAAAGAGGAGTGATGCTCAGAAGGAGGGAATTGCCAACATATTGTAGAACCACATGGCATGGGGAAGGGGAGCTTATTTTGTCTTAATGATAGCTTGGTAAATCTTTGTTTTTAGATTTACCTTGATTTAAAAGTTGTAATGTTTCCATGGTCAAGGAACAGATATGAGATATGAATCATAATTTATGTAGCTGATTTCATGTATTTTATTGCTTTCTGACAGATTCTTTTCCTCTGGAACAATGGGAGGGGACATAGGGTCACCTGGGAGAATACTAGATCCCTGTCCACTTCTAAGTCCCACCATTATAGGTTAAAAATAGAAGCTGCTGAATTGTGGGAACTGGATATAGTTGAAACGCCACTGTAATTAGTATAGGAGCCCCACAGATTGTTAATGAGGCTGTTTGAATTAGCACCTGCTCCTGCAAGGGTCGGGTGTGAACCCCTTGGCAGCCAGGTCCCTTGAGTCTGTGAGAGGGAAATAGGAGTGGAAGGAGGGGTCTCTGCACAGCCTTGGAGGTGTTTTCTGAGTGTCCCTAAGTCTGTATTTCATTTTCTGTTGGTTTCATTGCATTCACTCTGTATAAGAGGCTGTGCTAGAAGCTAGAGGAGACATAAAGGTGAGAAATACAGCCCTTACCCACAAAGAACTCACACAGGAAAACAAGACATTTACACAAGACACAAAAATCTAAAGTATATGTGCAGCTTGAGAACACTGAACTTAATCCTACCATTTTCTAACTGTGCAACTTTGGGTAAAGTGAACTTAACTTTCAGAGCTTCATTTTCCTTACCTGCACAATCAGGACAGTTGGGTATTTAATGAGATTAAATGAAAGTCAAGAAGCATGTCTCCGGTTGAATATTAGGTGCTCAATAATTGAGTTGACTGCAAAAATCAAAGTATCTGCAGAGAAATAACAATGAAATGCTTTAGAGCTTCAAAAGAAGAGGATGTCACAAAGAAAACTTTCTGGGGCCTCCCTGGGGGTACAAAGGGTTAAGTCACAGCACTATGAAGCAGTCTGCAGCTAATACAGCACGAGTTCAATCCCTGGCCAGAGAGGTAACCTACATGGTGCAGCAGACCTCTCCTGTCTCACCCGCTGCTCCCTTCAGCTGTGTATTTCAGTATATCTGCCTGCTGTGCTCCCCACTCTGTCTGGTGAATCCTCTCACCCCCCACACCTCTGTCCTGTACCCCAGTTCTTGTATGCATAAATAAAAAAATCTTTAAAAAAAAAAGAAAGAAAACTTTGTGGAGATTGCATCTGAGATTAAACCTTACTGATCTGTCTGGTTTTAAAAGGAGGTAATGCAGTAAGGGGGAAATATAAAAAGGGAAAGATACCATGAACAAAGGCACAGAGGCAGGAAAAACTGGACATTCCAACTAGTAGATGTGTTTTCCTGGGAAGTATAGCTCATAATTGAGTGGGGAGACAAGACAAATGGAAACTGACAAGTGAGACCAGTTGTGACAGAGGACTACAGAGGGGCCCTGTGGGAGTCTATCATTGACCCATGTGGACCAGAGGGGCCCTGTGGGAGTCTATCATTGACCCATGTGGACCAGCCTCGGTAGGGTTGACCAGGTGGGAGTGGCAGAAGAGGTTGGGATGAGGTTCTAGGGTGGCAGGGAAAATGTTGACTGTAGAACCCATGCTCAGTAGAAATACCAGTCTGAAAATCACACAAAGCACACAAGATGAAGGGCCTTCCTGGAGGCACAAGAGTTGAAGTTTCAGTACTATCAAGCTATAGCCAGCCACTGCTGCATGAGTACAATTCCTGGCCAGAGAGCTACCCACATGGCACAGCAGACCTCTCCTGTTTCGTCCGCTGCTCCCCTCAGCAGTAGATATCAGTAGATCCGCCTGTTCTGCTCCCCACTCTGTCTCTGGTGAATCCTTTCACCCTCCGTGCCCCACCCCTGCACCTCTGGCCTATACCCCAGTTCTTCTATGCATAAATAAATACAGTAAATCTTTAAAAAAAAAAAAAAGCACACAAGATGAGACCTAGGAGTTAAAGAAAATAGCAAGGATGAAAACTAGTGAAAGACAGTTGACCAAGAGCAGTGATCAGAAAAATCACAGAAATCTAGAATTTATAGATGGAGCCATTGAGAGCTATAATGAGGACAAGGGTCATTTGTGAAGCTGGGTGATTGAAGGGGGGGATCAGAAGTGAGTCACTGCAGGTAAGGAGTTCAAGGGTTATTGGGATTGAATGGTTAAAAAGGTTATTATTGTCTGTTGATATCTCAGTGGGTAGAGGAAGTTTGTGTGAAAGAAGGCAAAGAATCAAGTATAAAAATCATCCCAAAGATGGGATTGTGTTCTGGAGTATGGTAGATGTTTTTAATATTTGAAATGTGCAAGCTCATTACTGTTCAACATTCACCATACACTTTAGAGTCAATGTTGGTTAGGATATTGGTTGGGTCTCTATGATAGGAAGATCCAAAATAAGTGGCCTAAATAAGATAGAAGTTTATTCCTGTCGTGTAAGTTTGGGTATGTGGTCCATGGCTGCTGTGATGCTCCAGGGTCTGTCTGTTTTGTTGTCCTGCCAACTTTGATCTCCACTACCACCATGACAGCTGCACTCCTATCAGTTAGAAGGAAAGGACAGTGAATAGCGTGACTGAGAGTCACTAAGACTGATCAAGATCCAAGGGGAGTAGGATTAGATTCCCCTCTTTATGGGGGAATCAAGGTCATATTGCAGAGGAACAAGTGGGTGTGGAGCTATTGTTGTAGCCACATTTGGAAAATACAATCTGCCACACGTTGCAGTAAGTGGCCTTTAACAGAATGCTGCTCAGCTTAATGAATATGAGTAATCTGCAGAACAAATGGCCATGAATAAAACGGATTCCTTTTTACTCATAGAATAACCCTTTAAGGTAGATTAGATTCACACTCATTTTACAAATAATGGGAATAGGTAACTTGTCCCAAATCCCTGAGATGATTACTTGTCGAGCTGAGATTTGAACTTAAGTCTGTCTGACTCCCAACCAAGCTTGTGCTCTTCCCGGGCAAAGCGTGGCCTCTCACGGAGTCTGACATCCAGAGAGAATGCAATGAAAAAGAAGATTCTCCTTTCCTATCATAAGGACTCAATAAATATTTGCCAAATTGAACTGAATTAAATCGAACTCCTAGAGGAGAATCTTAGAAACAAAATCTGGAAAATGTGAATAAAGCTAACATTAGCTTTGAAAAAATTACATTAACCAACTAATGAAACAAGCTCTGTGTGAACACATTTTCCTCATTCACTGGTATCCACACACAACAAACACTCACTGTCTCAAAGCATTTATTCCTTGGACCATTCTAAAAAAAAAATCAAAGCATACATATTAGACTAAAAATGTCAACAAAATGAAGTGATATGCAGATATATTATTTATCATGTCAGCATATTGGATATGCCCAGTAAATAGTAGCCATTGCCATCAGTAAGAGCAATGGGAGCTGGCCCAGAGAACTGGGTTCTCTCCCTAGCTCTATTTCTCACCCCTTGTGTGAACTGAGACTGATCTCTGGACCTGATTTACCTTGCCAGGAAAATGAGGAAGAGCCAATTAACACTCCCTATGGTCTTTTCCAACACTAAAACTTACGGGAAGACTAAGTACTCTTTTTCTTATCTTTCCCTGTGTATCATGATTGGCTGAGTTATTTTCTACCACTCAGCAATTAATTAATCTATTAACTGCAAACTGCAACTGTTAAGGAGCAACTAAGAATAGTTAAAACTGTTAGAGCAAAGGTTCTAATCAAATGTTTCTGAACATATGCTCATGGGCTTACTGGAAAACAGTACTTATTCACTTTTCCCATTAAAATCTTATGTGATGATAGGTCAAAGAATGCACAAATTCTGTTATATTCATAATTAACATTGTTATGCAGCCTCATTCTGACAATGCAATGCACCCTTTGCTTCATAGCTATGTAGAGTAGATCTTTTCAAAAAGGCTTTTCCATGAAACTTTGATGTTCGGTCTTTCACTTCCTAACTCCTGCTTGTTCTTCAAGACTGATCTGGAATCATTTTCCCCAGAAATCCTCCAGGACCCTCAATTCATCTAACTCTTTCCAATGGCTTCTTTGGATGGCCTGCTCTGAACTCTCACAGACCTTGCTGCTTCTATCTTAGTACTGTTACACTGTATCACACTGTATTGTCACTGTCCTTTCTTTCTGTACTGTCCCCTCTGGCTGTGATCCTTCCCATAACAGAAGACAACTGTACTGCCAGTGGTAAGCAGGAACTTTGAACTAATAAGTATTCAATGAACACTGGCCAAATTAATGGTGTTCCTTCATTCCCCTTAAGGAGATGTTGATGATGAAGACAATAGCGCATTTTCTACCTTACACCAAATTCCCAAATTCTTCAAATATCTGTACCTCACACATGCCTTCCATGGATGTGTGTATTGGGAGCATTTTTTGAATGTGCCAAATGCACAAGAGAAAAAGGAAAAGAGACGCAATTTGATTAAGTGGTTACTTTACACATTTTTTCCCATTAACTATTAAAAATCATCCTCTTCATATGAACCTATGAGATAAGTGCTAGTAACTCTATTATACAGAAACTAAGGTTCAGAGAGATAAAGGACTTACCAAAGGTCACATGGCTACTGAATGACAGAGGTGGGATTAATCGACTCCATCTAATGTGACACTGCCTCCCCAGGTTGAGGAGGGAGATGGGTGGCAGATTGAGGAGAAAGGTGAAAGTGGAGTGGGGGTGGGTGGGGTCTTGTGCTCTGAAACCTCTTCTATGTTTTAAAATTGATCTGCCCCCAAGTTTATGCTTACTAATCCTGAATTTTAGCCCTTCTCCTGGTTAAGCAACAAGTACTCCTCTACCATCACTAATACCTCTGCTCCTCCCCAGTCATTATTTGAGCCTTGGAGGTTGTACAGATGTTATTGTTAAGTTGTTCTCATTAAGGGTGAAATAGGGCGGGACAGGGGAGGAGTGTGACAAATCAAATCCTCAGGTCCAACCAACCAGATAAACAAAGAAACACAGGTGCCTTTATAATTAAGGTGCACAATGAGCTTGTAATGCCTTTGTGTGAAGATTCAAGACTTTTAAAGAAAAATAACATTGCGTTTAATACAGGAATTGCCTTTCAGAGGAGGAAAGTAAGTTTCCATGCTCTTACTGCCTTGTTAAGTGAAGTTGACTATAGAGTCATAATATAACATGTAATTGTAATATCACAGATTCTATTTATGATTTCTATTGGGATGGAATATGAATTACACTTTGGAGAATTTAACATAATTCCAAAATATTTATTTTAGTAGTGAGTACTATGTTCATAAAATAAATCTTAGTTCTACTATATTTAATTGAAAATATATACAGTTTAGACTAAAAGATATTTTCAATTCATGAGAAACAGGTTTTTTTCCCCTGCAGTATGATTCCTAATCCTGTGATGATTTGCTTATTTATGACATTTTTATAAGTAAATTATTTTAACATATTTGGTTATAAAATTGAATATATATTGTTTTTTAATATCTGTATGGAGTTGTTCTATTGTTTTCAAAAGACCTTATAAATCCAGAGAATATATGATGAAGTAAAGTGCTTAAAAATGCCAGAATTCATGGCTGAACTGATTTTGAAAAGTTAAGATTGAAAGAATTGGTATTTTTATGTATTTTTTTTGTGTGGCCTGACTTCTGTTTCAGTAATAAAAACACACGTAAATGTTACATGGGTTTCTTTTGGATGGGGGCAGCTTCCTGCTATGAATTCTAACCAGTCATGCATTTACATAATCGTTATGAATATAACAATATTTCAGATATCAATATAAGGAACATATACTAAATTGTTTCGTTCGTATAAAAAAGAACTTAAAATATGCAATCATTCAAAAATCTTCAAGTATACCAGGCACTATTGTTATTGCTGTATGTGTATTAACTCTTTTAATGTTCAGAACAAGCTGCATGAAGTCAGGTCTAACATTATCCCCATCTTTCAGAATTTAAAACTGAGGCACAAAGACTTTAAGTCACCTAACCAAAATCACAAAGCTAGTTAGTAAGGGATGGAGCTGGAATTCAAACCAAGGAGGCTTTACCAAACATTCTCTTTCCAAACATAATAAATCACCAAATCAGACTCCCTGGAGAGGTGGTTTTTGAGTAATATAATGGTTATAAAGAGCAGAACTTGCTATAAAGGTTGTACTTAAATTATTAAAAATGATACATATCAAGTATATATGTATATGCATGCATACATGCATACATGGGATGAATATATCCATATGAAAGATATATGGATGTGTGTGTATATATGTGTGTGTGTGTGTGTATATATATATATATATATATATATATATATATATAGAGAGAGAGAGAGAGAGAGAGAGAGAGAGAGAAGACAGTATGTCAGACTAAGAGCTTTAGGTGCCCCCAATTTGTCATAACTACACTATGTTGTATTTATCCAGCTCTGTAAACCTGGGCAAATTATTTAACTTGCCTCAATCTAAGCCTCAATTTGCTTATCAGCTGATGTGGAAATGAAGTTGTATACAGAGTGCTAAGCCAGAGCCCAGCACAAAGTAAACTCTCAATAAAAATTGGCTATTATTATCATTACTGTTTTCAAGCTTAGAGAAAACAGATAATTTGTTTATGGTGACATATCTTCAAAAGGAAACTATCTCTGATTAACATCCTAACTACATCCTAACATCCTGGTAAAACTATGTTCTTTAAATGCTAAAATGCAATGAATTCTTGCCTGCTGACTCTTTGATAATAAATAGAAATAATGATACATTAAAACAAAATTTGTTTTAATTCCAAAATAATAAATGCTTATTAGTGACTGACATTTTAATAATGCAGATAAGCAAAAGGGAAAAATAAAAAACACTCATTTTTCAACCTTCTAAAATAATCAGTCATCCTTTCACAAGATCATTGTTTTCTTCCCTGCTTTTCTCGCTTTGAAATATATTGTCATCCTCTTTGCATGTTGATATTCATCATCTGTATCATTCTTAATGTCTGCAAAATATTGCACTGTGTGGATCATCACTTCCCTTGATTGATCATTAAAAACTGTTTCCAGTTTTTCCATATTTCACAGAAAGCTACAGTAAAAGGTCATAGAGCCAAATCTTTGAATGTACTAATGATTTTCTTAAGATAAATTTATAAAAGTGAAACTGCTAAATCAAAGAATAAGAGTTAGCAGAATTTTGAGTTGATAAAACCCCAAGTGGTCAGGAATAAAATCTTTTGTTTTATATGGTCAAAGGACACCAGGAAAACAGTTCTTTTGGTCATGAGGAATTGCTCGATTTTAAGGTTGCACTAGGTATGAAATCATTTAATGCTTGCATTAAAGAAAATAACCATGAAAAGTGCACACAATAAGGATCCAATAACTAATAGATACTATTATAATGAAACCAACACCAGATTTGTTTCATTTGTCGTTCTAAGTCCTTTAACTACTTGGGCCTCTTCTGTAGTTTATTTGAGTCTATTTGAAGATCTGAATGAAGTCCTGAAAATCGAAAACTTGAGAATCCTGAAGATTGCGAAGTACAACAGTGGACCATTTTTTCCTCCTGATTCCCTCACCACCTGGGGCAAATCTCAGAGCCCTGATCTAAAAGAGACATTGGATAAGTTGACCTCTTTAATATGTCTACTACAATACTACCATGCTAAATTACTTCACCCTAGTAATTCTCACTCATACCTGTATTTCCTGTATTTTGAATCAAGGTAGTAGAGGGTGTTCCTCAACAGCCCAACTCTCTGCGTGTTTCTGAGACAGAGTGGAAGTTTTATAAAGGTCAGGAAGGGCCAAGAAGTCCCTTTCCCATTTTAGTAACTATCACAGTACCTAGCCCTGCCCTATATACCGTGGTTTAGGAAGCCACAGAGTAACTGAAGGACACGCCCAAGTCATTTAGGCCAACGATGGTTTTTTTTTTTTTTACCTGAAATCACAGTGCACAAAGGTTTGGTCATTTAGTTTGGCGTTCAGTGATGTCAGCCACTGTCTCCATTTCTCACTTTACTTTGGATATATCTCAGACATCAATCGACTGGCCCAGCAGGACTTGACGGATCCACTTATGGTCTCCACATCCCCTGCCCAAGACAGGTCACCTTCCCCATGCTCTTTCTCCCACAGGGTAAGAGTTATTCTAAGGCTTCCAAATGGATCACATTTGCAAACCTCAAGGTCCAGAACAGTGTTTGGCTAAACAACATTGGTCCAAATGGTGTCGGTCGCCTTGAACTGCAAAGAAGCTATCTCACTTAAAATTTTAGGGAAAGGAGAGGCTCTCTTCATTCAAGCCTTCGAGCAAAGACTAACGTCCAGCCCGGCGCCAGGCACCAGCAACCTCCGTGGAAGGGGTGGGTCCCCCAGTCCCCGCGCGAGGCGCCCCCTGGAGGCGGCAGTGGGCACAGCGGCGCGGTGGCACAGCCTCGGCGCTGCGCGGGGCGCGCGGGGCGCGCGGGCGGGCAGGCGAGCGAGCGAGCGAGCGAGCGAGCGCGGTGCGACTTCGCGGACGTCCTCCGCGCCCCGCCCTACCTCCGCCGCCTCGGGCCGAACAGGCCGCCGAGAAGATGCGCCTCAAGAACCAGGTAGCCGCGCCCCGGGCGGGCCCCGCGCCCCCGACGCCCCGCCCACCCGCGGTCTTGGGTACCAGCGGCCACACGGCCACGTGGTCGCGACGGGGCTGCTCCCGGCGCCCAGCGGGCCACCCCGGGTCCCAGGGAGGGGGAGGGGACCCTGCCCAGGAGGGGGAGCCGTTCTTCGGCGCCGAGATTCCTGCAATCCCCTGCGTCGCCCAACTGGCGACCCTGGCCGCGCGGGGGGTCCGGTCACCCCTCCGCCGGCTTTCCGAGATGGTCTCCCCGGCTCGGGGGACACAACTGAAACTTGGGTGGGCGCGCGCGCCTGCTGCCCCGCAACGAGAACCCCCGCGGCGTGGAGAAGCCACCGCCCCGGGCCACTCCCCTCTGCGCCTTTCAAAGCCGGCCTCCGGGTGGCTTCGCCGAAGTCGTGGTGGCGCCAAAAAGTCCGGGCAGCAGCGAGCCAGCAGGCCCCCCCGGGTGCCCGGCGGGCGAGCGCGCAGCCTCAGGGGGGCCCTCTGTGTGTAGGGCTTGGCTGATTGACGGGAAGCAGCATCCTTCCATGCCTTTCCCCGGTCAGATCCCTCACTGGACCTGGACTTAGGGTAGTTGTAGAGGCTGCTCCAGGGCGCCTGGATGGCACTAAAGCTGATTGCACAGGGAAGGAAAGGGAAGCTCAGGCGTTGGTAGGGTCTATTTGTGTGTTGTAAATTGATGTCTCTGTTAGACTGGGGGTTGTCAGACATTTAGGGTTTAGTAAATATGTGTCCTGAAGACTTGAACCTGCTGGAAAACGTTTCTAAAAGGGAGAGGCAATCCCCTCCCCCAGCATATGTTAAGGGATTTAGAGAGACCACAGGGAATTGGAGGGGAGGGACTTTCAGAAAACAACTTCGTATTTGGGGGGTGGGGAATGAGTCAGGTTGATTCCCAAGGTGTTAGCCTGTGCCACTCTAGGGTGATACTTCTCGTAAAATCTCCACTCTGGGGAATCAGATACCCGCCTCCACAACACAGTTTGGCTGGAGCCTATGGGTTCCTGAAAGCCTACCTGTACCCCTTGTCTAGCTGCTTTATTTTAGTAGAACCCCTTAAGAGGCTGTATCACATTACCCTCGTGCTTTCGTGTGCCTGGTTTTTCATAGTTTATAATACTTGCAAATTGACACTGAATAAGCTTTAACCTCAGTCATTTCAGAATAAGTTTGATGTTTTAAGTGAGATGTGAATGGAGCTCCATTCATGAGGGAAGTAGTCTGTGTGAAGTGTTTTGTAAATGTGAGTGGGTTGAGTTTAAAACACTGAATAAAATTAGTGTAATGAGGAATCAAAGGGTTCAATCCAGATGTTTGCCTCCTGGATTCTGTAATAAAGTGACAGTGCAAAGCTGCATAGTGCCTGGCTTAGGGCCCTTGGCTGGGGTGGACTGTGGCACTGTGGGTCACCCAGGGCAGGTGGGTGGTTGGATTCCTTCCATTCATTTTTTAAAAGCATTAACCATTCTTTTGGGTTGATGTGGTTGTGACCCACCCCCACCCCCCGCCCCATCAAGGATTTTACCCCTCTCCTAACTACCCTAGTAGCTTTTACACGCAGACATTCAGTTGAGGAACTTGTGAGTAATCCTCTTTAGCTGTCATTAGTATTAGCCTCTGAAACCTTTGCTTGCTTGGTATTTGGGTGTGATTGAAGTAAAAGTGGGATTGTGAATTAGAGCTGGTGGCCTCACTAATTGCACTTCTTATTGTGTGTGTTTTGAATTAACAGAACTCCTTAGCATTTGTGCAGAGGCAATATATAGTTTAGCATGAGGGGCTGTAATTCTGATATTCTTGATTCATGTCTATTCCCGTCACTACATGTATGATGTTTCGTAATTAATTTGTCCCTCTCTCTCTCCCCCTTTTTTATTCCCAGTAGCCCAATGGGGTAATACCAGCTTTTGACATGGGGGTTAATGGAATACCATATATGTAAAATGTCTGATATAAATAATCCTATTGTTAGTCATCCATAAACTAGCTGTTACCATCTTTGCTACCGTATCTCCTTAAAAATACCTGCTATAGGTAGGGAGATTCAATGCAGAGGTACACAAAGAAACTCTCTGGGGTGGTTGAAATATATCTTGATTGTGGTGTTAATGACAGGAGTACCATTTCTCACAATTCATCAGACTGAGCCCTTAAGAGCCATATTTTTTTTGTATATATATTAAATCTTAATAAAATTAATGTAAAAAACTAACCTGCAAATGTTTAATACATACCTTTTGGCAGATGGAAGTTGACATTCCAGCCCCATCCTGCATAATCTAAAGCTTCTCTTCCAGAGGTCCCTCTGCAAGTGAGCATATCTTCTTAAATCCATTTTGGTTCATGGAAAATGTAGAGAGAAGGAGCTCTAATTTTCAGATTGTTGTCAGGAGTGATAGTCCATGGAGAAGAAGGATTGTTTGATTTGTGCTGAGATGGAATTTAATTTGGATCTTGCATATGGTATCGGTTTTCCACTGATATCTTTTTAAAAAACAGATTAAAATGCTTTATTTGATGCAGCAGTGCTCATTTGCATAATATGTCCATCCAGTAAGCACAATTCCTGAAAGGTGATTTTGCATCCCTTCCCTTGCTTACAGTAAATTCTTTGCATTGTTGGTAGTTAAGTGAGATAACTAGAGCTCTTTAGCACAGTACCACACTTATAGTAAATGCTAATACACACTAGCTGTTATTATTAAAATTGATAAGTTCATATTCATCTTCTTTTGGAGGTCATAAACCATACCATACAGTTTGTATTACCAGTCGATTCACTATAAACATGATGTGAAAGTTTTTGAAGTGTAGATAAACCAATAATTTATTAATAAAATATCAAAAAAGTAAAATCTCACTTATCCAAACACAGCAGTCATAAACTTTCCAATTTCAGTCGTAGAAATATAGACCAAAGCTACTATGAAGCAGAAACATTTCTGAGATGCATAAGTATATGCCACAGAGTATATTAACTTGTTTAGTCACAGACAAGCTGCTTAGACCTTCCCTCAAGCCTTTTGTTTCTTACTTCACACTGTTCTAACACATTTAGTTACCTAATTTCTCAGCCTGTAGCAGATCACTCGTGCTATATGGGAGATAAACTAGAAGTTTCAATAAATATTAACTGGAAGTGAGGAACAAACAAATTACAAAAATAAGAATTGGTAAATCAGTCTTAACCTTAGGTCAAGGCAATAATTGAATCAGAATACCACATAACAATTGCTAGAAATTTGTTGGAAATTTCAGTTCTTTTCTTAAAAGGGTTATAATATGATGTTCTCTGTTTTAAAAGAACAATAGCATATGTGATATTTTAGGAAAATTTTTGCCTGATATTAGAATATAAACTTGATTTGTTAAAATCAAGCAAGCTTCAGTTATCTGGAAATTTTACTTAATATGGAATGATTTAGTCCTTCATGATACTAGCATTTGTTCCTGCATGATTCTGTATCCATTGACATCCATAGTTGTGATTTATGACTGGGAACTGGATTTTTAAAATTGCATTCTTTTGACGCGACAACATAATGAGATGAATCATATATTAGTTTGCTAGGGTTGCCATACTACAGCTTATGCTTTAGAGTGAGTAGATTAGGCAAAAGAAATTTATTTCCTTCACAGTTCTTTACAGTTCTGGAAGCTAGAAGTCCAAGATCAAGGTGGAGTTGTTTTTCTGAGACCTCTCTCCTTGGCTAGTAGATGTTCATCTTCTCTCTCTGTCTTCACATTGTCTTTTCTCTATATATCTGTGTCCTAATCTCTCCTTCTTATGAGGATACAAGTAAAGTTGCATGAAGGCCCACTCATATGAGTACCTTTTCCCAAATCACTACCCCTTTAAAGTCTCTGTCTCCAAATACAGTCATATTCTAAAGTACTGGGAATTAGGACTTCAACATATGGATTTTGGGGGAAGACAATTCAGCCTATAATGCAAGTACATTGGTCCTTTCAAAATTGTTCAGCATATGAATCCAGTCAGACTTTAATTCTTGTTTTGGGACAGTTAGATTTGGAATGAAATGTTATAGCTTCCTGTTACAGTGAGAAACCCTAACACATCCAACTGGTACACGTTCCCATGTACACACACACACAAACACACACACCCCATTTATGTTTGAGGCTCATTACAGCTTATGCAGATTTAGGATCATTGTTACTGAGTTCACTGAAAATCATTTCCTTCTTTGAGAAAGATGTTTCTACAGTGGCTTCCTAATCTTTCCGGCTATATAGTAGGTATAGCCTACTATATAGTTTGGCTTTCTGGAAAGATACCATTTAATCTTTTGATGCCTTTATACCTAGTTCTGTCATTTGGGCTTTTTGTTTGACTTTCCAGGTAGCTCTGCAACAAAATAACTATACGGCTCCCTCAGTACATATTTCCTACATATTCAAGACTTGAATTTATGGACACAAATTTGCTGCACAAGCAACCTTTCCTCAAATCAGAGCCTGGAGATAATTTACCCAGAGGAACTTAAACTGCCCACTTAATGGCTTAATCCCTTTACCAGTTTGAAGTTGCTATCAGTTTCATGTGTGCATCATTCAGGATGTACTATTTTGTCTAAATATATAGAAAAAAGCATCTCTAAACCTATGTTTTGCAAAAATGGCTCCCAAAAGCATTGTGTGTGTTACTACCAGTTTGTGGGAATTTGCACAGCCTCTAAACAACTGGCGGTGGGGCTAGTGTTGATGTTGCAGC